GCAATGGAATATATTTTAAAATGCTCCAAAAACAATCAAAATTCATAACTCATCAAACAAGCATAAAGTATTGCAACATAAAACATTCTAAGTCTGGGTCTAATTGTTGGCTTTGTGTGTGTGTGTGTTTTCACCCTATTTCCTGTGATTTCGATCCATGCGGTTCGATTGATTTAAGTTCTATCATTATTACAAGGTCGGTCCTAGCTATCAAGATGAGAAGTTTGTCCCCTATTCAAATTAGGTGAAATTAATTAAGGAAGATATCATAGAATTGATTTGAGTTATGTATAAAAGATCCCCTATATATTATTATAAACCAGGGTTAACGTTAGAGAATTAATGATTGTCGAGATTTGGACCAGGAAGATAGAAGGAAATCTAATTCTTCCCATATAATCTGTGTGATCATTAATCTTCTATTTCTTTCATTTCAAGGATAAATCCCGGCACCAACGACAGAGAATTTAAGATCATGTTTTTCGGTGTATCATTGTTTTTTAGATGAAGCTTTTTTCTTTTGGGTGCATGCATCATGTAACTGATGATATTATTCAGTCTTGAGGTCCCACAAGAAAGCATGCATCAAGTTCTACATAGTATCTAATGATGGCATTGTGAAGTATTGAATATACCTCATTTAAGCTCTCGTATGCGTTTACTCCTTAGGTGCACAATCAAGACCAAGGCATGCATGCATGCCTTTAAATTAACCATTCAAGCAACTCTGGCTCGAACTTTTTTCCTCGGTCGCCATCTCTTTTGTGTTTGTTGATCGATCAGTTACCCGGGTCACGTTAGGGGTTTGGGTTTGTTCTTGTTAGAAAATAGGAGATTCCTTGCTTTTTAAATCTCCCAAAAGTGTGTACTCTAATCTAGCAAGCGTGAATACTGCTTCCCTTTGTACGTAGAGGATGGAGTTATGGAGGTCCTCATACAGGCCTTGGTCATCGTCTGTAGAACAAACTTGAGGGATTAAGACTTATAGTTCTATATTCTAATATGTTTTTGCATGTTTAATTTTCCTTTTTATTGTCCAGAAACTCTATCCACATAGCAATATCATTTTTTTATGGATCCGGTTTAAATTTGTGCTAGTAGAATTTGAACTAGATTACTCTGATACTGTTCTAAATGATCCTGTCACTACACCAAAACTCTGATGTTATGTTCATATTTGAGGGTTATAATTTAACAGTCTAACATACACCAGCATGTTGAGATTTATAGTTTAATATTCTAATGCTCATATGCGCTCATAAATTTGATTGTTTTCCATGCACTAAGTAGTAAGTGTTGATGTTGTCTATCAAACAGGAGGTTTATTTGTGGATTAAAGTAGATCTAGGGTCCTCAAACTCCTTCAGATGACTGGCTCTATAGGTCGATGTTCTTCCCTGCACATGAAGAACTTGTGAGAGGCTGGAGTTGGGTTCTTCGGTTATTCCTCCAACGATCAAGTCAGTATATGAACTTGAGTGGGAAAATATGAGATGGTGAAAAAAAATCTCAAAATCGTGTGGAAGACCCAGAGAGTTACCTTGAGTGCTTCATTTTTATGGAGGATCAAAAAGGCAGATAGGTAACTTGAGTCGAGTCCAGGCAGATAGCTGACTCAGCAGACAGCTGATAGGTGTCGGCTGCTGCGAAGATGGGTCATTCAGGTGGCTAGTGCAAAGCGACATGTAGCTATTGAAATGTGACATCAGTTGCTTGGTGCTGATAAAGACTTTTGGGGCTGAAGCAATGATGATTTTTGACCATGTATTTACTGTGACGGTGACCGGCTATTGGCGGGGGCTCGAGGAAGACCACATTTCGACTCGGCTGGCAAGAAGGGACGAGTTGGGCTGCTTGTTGAGAAAGGACAACCTCTTGCGAGAATAGAAAAAAGTATCGCCTCTTTAGTCGACTGGTGGAGGGCCGACTAACATTGCCTTTTTACTCGGCTACACGAGTTGCCGGTTGAAACAGTAGTTTCCGGCTGAAACAGTAGGCTTAGGATCAATATGGTGGGTAGGCGACAGGTGCCACCTTTTTAGCCGGGCTCAAGAGTTGTTTGTTGAGATAGTGGGCCGAGTGTGGAGGCTTGTGGGCTCGATCTAATAGGTAGGTTGGCAAATACCACATTTCGAGTCGGCCATGTAAGTTGTTAGTTTATGGAGTTGGCCGCAATAGTAGTTCGAGTCATCTTGACTCTGATCATGTCTGATCTGGGGTGGAGTGAGATATTGTAGGCTGTCTAAAAATTACTACAGATAGCTCATCCTTATAAAACACTGATAATGAAAGTTATAACCTGTCAACTTTCACAACAATAGGTGAATGTTACAATTTGATGATTTTTGCGACAACCGATGAAAGTTCCAACCTGATGACTTTCACAACAGCATACGAGAGTTACAAATTGACAACTCTTACATTTCAAAGAACCAAATGTAAGGATTACAAGATGACGATCCTTGCAACACTCAAAGAAAGAGATTACAATTGACGATCTCTTCAAAGACCAAACGCGAGGCTCACCTCCGCGTTTCAAACTTCAAACGTTGAGCTCACCTCCGTATTGCTAAACTTCAAATGTGAGGCTCACATCTGCGTTCCCAAACTTCAAACGTGAGGCTCACCTTCGCGTTTTAAAGACCAAACGCGAGGCTCACCTCTGCGTTTTAAGAGCTAAAACGCGAGGCTCACCTCTCGTTTTATAAGCTAAACGGGAGGGTTTCTCTAGAACGTGAACCTCGGTTTTGCCTGGTTGAAACACGATTTGAACGGTTTCAAAACCGTTTTGCACGTAATGGGGCCATTAAGCCCCATTATGGAGCGAATTAAGGGATCAGTTACACCTCTTTAACCCTATAAATAGATGGGTTTACAGCTAAAACGGGGTTGACTTGAGTTAACTTGGTTGGAGCTTATTTAAGGTATTTGTTGGGAGCTTTTACCTTGGCTTTTGAACCGTTCTTGGTTGAAGAACTTTTAAATAGGCTGTTTAGCTTATTTCAAGGAAAAGGGATTAAATTCCTTTATGAAATTAACTATTTTACGGAGTTTTAAACTCGTTTAGAGTCTTAAACTTGCCTCGCAAGTTCTTCCCGGCATTAAGTCAAGAGCAATAGACAACGTTCTACGAAGCGAGGTGCTCGGATCGTCAACGAGATACAAGATTCAAGCTCTCATCACCACCAAGAATAACCCGATTTTAAACAAATTAAGGAATGATCTTCGTCGATTCCTTCTATCTTTTGTAAATCGGGAAACTGACAAGAAAAATTGTAATTTCTTTTTCTATGTCAGTTAGAGAGAGATTGTAAAGAGAGATTGTATTTATTCTTTTCTTAAGTTAGTTAAGGAGAATTAATAACATTTCTTCTCAGTTTTCTCTAATTTTTCCCGCAAACAAAACACGTGCCGACGACCCAAGAAAAATTAACGCTTATTTATTTGAAGGCTATAACAGTAAGGATCTAGTCCATACAAGCTAGGTTACCAACATTTTCGTACCTTTTTATTTTCGCTAAAAGCATGTTGATATACTTTTAAGAACTTTTAGTAGGAGCTAACTAATTCACAACCAGGTAAAGTCATAAAAGCTTAATGTTGTATAAAGATGTAATGCTCACAATTCAAGTGATTTTACACAGACCCTTCCAAACTAGCAGCAAGTAAGAGTTCGAAAGGTTTTTGCTACCGATTGCTTTATATTAAAGGCAATTGATAAGGAGGAGGGGGAAAGAAAAACTCACCTATTCAATTTCATTAAATTCATTTTATTTTTATTCTGGGATTGGTTACAAACATTTGCTATTCACATCAAGGAACAGGAAACGCATCAACTGGCGAAATTAAGAGCCCACGGTGAATTTATCCTAGGCCTAAAAATCTGCCGAACTTAATCCCACATGCAGCGGAGAGAGTCCAGCATTTATGGGTCATGCGATCCTCAGCCCAACCTCACGTGGTCAACATCCAATCAATCCTCAGCAATTCAATCAGAGGAGAGAGAAAATCTCAGAGACGGGAGAGAGAGAGAGAGAGAGAGAGGGAGGGGAAGAAAACACAGAAGCAGAGTAGAGAGAGAGAAAACAGAGCAGAGAAAGATACTCTTACAACCGAATCCACATCACCCTCTCATCCTCGCCAAAATGAACCCTCCCGTCTTTTTTTTTTTTTTTGCCCTTTCATTATTACCAACATCACCCTTTTACTGACCATCAAAGTCCAAATCTTAAAAAAGGTTTTTTCTTTCCCCCGTAGCCGGCCCCTCATATCTTTAAAATTGCCCAAGTACCCATTAACCCTAAGATTGTTGCGGATTAGCCCCTCGTTGACTAAAGTACCACCCTGAACTCGTGTTTTCCCTCCAAAACCCTTATTACATGAGCGGAGGAGCAGGATGGGCAAATTCGCGAGGCCCTTCAGAACTTGAGGGTCTCAGATGGAAACTAGTGCGGATTTGATGACCAAGATCTAAAGAACTCTTAAAATAAAATAAAGTTGCAACACAGTAGCTCAGTGTATCAGAGCCCCACACCTATCCGTGCCTTCAATCCGCCCTCCACTCACTCCATTTTATAATTTCCAATCATTATTTTATTTTCCCTCACACTAGACAGCAGGTTATGGCACAGATAGAGGGGAGAGGCAGGTAAATAAATTAATACTTTTATTTTTAATTTTCTGTACAGTACACCGGGGGTGAAGAATTTTTTTTTTTTGCAGAAAAACCCCCGTAAACCCATACTTTATTTAATCTCCCCACCCCCCCGCTCTCCTGCTACTTCAATCAAAAAGCTACGAGCTCTCTCACTCTCCAATCTCAAACCTCCCATGAGAGAGGAGGGAGGAAGGGCCATGAGCGAGGAAGAAGACGACGAAATGCCGGCGGCCTATGGCGAGCGCGTGGGCCCCCGGATCTCGGGTCGAACCCAGGGATCTCGCCCCCCCGCCGTTCGGATCAGGTGTGCTTGATTAACGTCCTCGAAAACGTGCTGAAGTTCTGACTTGCCGGCGGGATGCGCAACGCGGCGTCGCTCGTGTGCAGCCTTGCTGTTCAAGGCCGAGGGCCCAGACCCGGCGGGAGCTCTTCATCGGCAACTGCTACTTCGACCGCGTGGCGATCCGCACGTGCTGGCCGCAGAGGTTCCCGCACGTGCGGTCCCTGGTCCTGAAGGGGAAGCCGAGGTTCGCTGACTTCAACCTGGTGCCTTTCGACTGGGGAGCTCATCCGACGCCTTGGATCTCGGCTTTTTCGGCGAGCTACCGGTTTTTGGAGAAGCTCTTCTTGAAGCGGATGAGCGTCTCGAACGATGATTTGAATTTGATTGGCTGTTCGCTTCCTGGATTAAAAGAGCTCTCGATCGTCAACTCTGATGGGTTTAGTACCGAGGGGCTTGCTATTATTGCTGAAAAGTGCAGGTTAGGGTTCAATTTCTGATCTTTTTTTTTCAAAAACCCTAAAATTTTGATTCTGACTGATTCGGTTTGGGTTTTAGGCAGCTGAGAGTGCTGGATCTGATTGAGGCTTATCTGGACGAGGTTGAAGACGAATGGACGGATTGGGTCTCCAAATTCCCCCAATCTGGGACTTGCTTGGAATCGCTTGTGTTTGAATGCATCAGCGGGCCTTTCAATTTCGAAGCCCTAGAATCTCTGGTTGCTCGGTCGCCCAACCTCCGGCAGCTGAGGGTGCATCAGGACTTGACCGCTGCTCAGTTGCAGAGGCTGATGGCACGCGCCCCTCAGCTGACTCAATTGGGCACTGGCTCTTTCAGATCCATGGCTGATGTTGGAATTGCTCCCGTGGGTGCTGCTGATAATGAAGTTGAGGGTTTGGCGTCGGCTTTCGCTTCGTCCAGGTCCATCGTCTCCCTATCGGGCTTTCGGGACTTGTCGCCGGAGCTCCTCCCTGCCATTTATCCGGTCTGCGCTAATCTCATATCGCTCAACTTTAGCTTTGCTAACATCGACACTGAGCAGCTGCGACCAGTCATTCTCCATTGCCACAACCTGCAGAAATTCTGGGTATTGAATCTAAGAACCTGTTGACTTGTCCCCATTTTGTGAATTTTGTTAATTGGGTGTGTTTAAATTTTAGGTTCTTGATACCGTTTGTGATGAGGGGCTTCAAATGGTGGCCTCTGCTTGCAAGGATTTGAGAGAGCTCAGAGTATTTCCCATAGATGCAAGGGAGGATGCGGAGGGTCTCGTTTCTGATGTTGGCTTGACTGCAATCGCCGAGGGTTGCCCTAAGCTTCGATCCATTCTCTATTTCTGCCAGAAAATGACCAATGCTGCTGTGACTTCAATGTCTAGGAATTGCCCTGATCTTGCAGTTTTTCGACTCTGTATAATGGGTCGTCATCGCCCTGATCACATCACCGGTGACCCTATGGATGAGGGTTTCGGTGCCATTGTCATCAACTGCAACAAACTCACTAGGCTTGCTGTCTCTGGTCTGCTCACTGATAAAGCCTTTGAATACATTGGAAAGTATGGGAAGTTAGTGAGGACTCTTTCGGTTGCTTTTTCTGGAAATACTGATTTATCCCTACAATATGTGCTCCAAGGATGCCCTAAATTGATTAAGCTTGAGATTCGGGATAGCCCTTTTGGTGATTTGGGTTTGCTCTCCGGGCTTAACCATTACTATAACATGAGGTTTCTTTGGATGTCTTCGTGTAGGCTAACTCTGAGGGGTTGCAAAGAAGTAGCCGAGAGGTTGCCTAGAATGGTGGTGGAAGTGATCAGAGATCATCGCGAGGATAAAGATGATGAAATTGTGGGGAAATTATATATGTACCGGTCTCTTGCTGGACCTAGGAATGATGCCCCGCCTTTTGTGAAGATATTGTAGGTTAATTTACTCGTGGGTTCCTTAAAGGGAGAGATTCTAATGGGGTTTTCACTGCCCATTAGATTGCTCAACGAAGGGAACATAGGTTGTTGAATTATTTCCATTCACTATTAGTTTCCCTTTGTGCTCATTCGATTGGAGAGGTATTTTTTTACCAATGAATGAATTCAAATTGAGCTAAGTTCTGTGATCGATGAATGGATTCAAATGGAGCTCAAAGTATGGGGAAATTACTGCAAATGCTGCGTCAGTTGGTTTTATACACATACTCCTGTAACATGAAGATGATGATGATGATGACGATGACGATGAATCTTGCTGCAACACAATGATCCCTGAACAAAGGATGGTGCCAATGGATTCTTTTCTTTGAATTCGAGAATTGAGCTCCAACGGCGAGGTGAAATATTAAAAACCCTGAAATTTTTCTTAGTTATGTCTCATGTAGCAGTCTCTGTTAAGTGGTCGGTCCAAGAGTTTAGTTAGTCTTCTTTCTTAGAATGCTTCTTCTTCTTAGTTCTATTTGATATTTGATATGCTTCTGTTATCGTTTGATCCATATATGATGTGGCTGAGGACAAACATTTTCTGTAGGAATTGTAAGGGAGTTTGTTATTCATTATCTTTCCATCTTCAGAGAATTGTTTCATTTGTAGCAATTACTTGATGAGCTGAAAACTAGAAATTAGCAAACATTTCCTCTCCTATTAAGTTTTCATCTAACCATCAATTGTACGATATATAGTGCAAACCCCTATGAGGAGGAATGCGATTATGCATCATGTTTGTCTCATTGTCCAACTCCACTTCCGCAAGAGAGCAAAACTTCCAGTTATTTGGTTCATTTGAAAATTATGGATGTGCTGTGTCCTGGAGAATGCACTGATTGATTTCTGTGCAATTTGTTCAAAAGGCTGACTAGTTTTGAAACTTTTTGGATTGTTTTTGGTTCACATATGATAGCATCTGTCACAGGGAGTCTTGTATCTGTTTCTGATATTTCCTCTTCAGAGAACTATTTGATTGCCACGATGACACAATGCTATTAGACTATTAGCCCCCCATTCAATTATACATGCTTAAACCTAAGCCCCTTCTAGATTTGTAGCTCTCCTCCATTGAATTTGAGAGAGGGTCAACAAAAGGGTAGGTCCTGGTCCACACTAAAGAAAGAAACAGTTCATTGATGGGGTCAGCCTCTATCATCAGATTAGTGCACCTTTTTTCCTCTCCTTGGAGGTTTTTTGGTGGGCAGGTGAGTGGCACCTATCAATCTCCTTCTGGCCCTTCAGAGCATAAATGGACCAAACCCTCTCCTCTGTTTTTGGCTTATGTCTGCAATAAAACCCACAAATAAAATAACTAATACAACATTAGCTTTCATGTGATTAAATTTTTTTTTAAAAAAGGTTTAGGTAATTACAAGCCTTAAACCTTTTTCGAGTACTGATCCAGCTTCATTATAAAATTAGAGGGGGGGTTGGAATCTTAGTGTTTAATTAATTCGAGGTTACAGCACATTACACCATCTTTCGATAAAAAATAACGGGGTCCGGCTTTATTACGATCTGGAGGGATATGATTAAACTAAAAGGCTCTAGATCTTGACAATGCTTGTTGCCAACATGGTTTGTCGAAGAATAGTTTTCGACTGATGAATGTGAGGAGAGCTGGCTGCCCTGGCTGCCATTGCTTTTTGGGGGATGGTTATACATAAATTGCACACTGCCCAATTTATGTATACTTACCCTTCAACTAGTTTATCAGCACCTGTTACCTCTGAGGTTGATATCTACTCTTCTATACTCTTCGGAGGATCCAAAGAATCATAGTTAATGCTACAGTAAATGTTATATTAAATACTGTAGCATAATTAGTAAATCGGATTGGCCCTCCGCACTTGAAGCTACTGTTTATGTCGTAGTAATTTACTGTAGCATAAACAATGAATCAGATCTGGGACTCTGTACTTGAAGCTACCATTTATTCTACAGTAATTTACTGTATTATAAACAGTGAAGCAAATTAAATGTATTAAAACATTGATTCTCCTTCAAGTATAGAGGAGATGATATGAATTCTAAATCAAATGTATTAAAACTTGGATCATTCTTTGAGTATGTATGAGTAGATATGATTTCTAATTTTAAGCGCACAATAATTAAATCAAATGTTTAAAACTTAGAGGAAGGCACGTCTAAAATGCGATGCTTAAAAAAAAAAATAGGGGACCGTGCTTTGCACGCGGTGCACGCTAGTTTTGTGAAGGACAAATTGCAGAGAGCTCCCTTTTTCCACAAAATCAAAGTGTTGCTTGTTTAGGTAACCTCAATAGTAGGATGAAAATAATGATGGTTCATATAGAGTCTATTTCAACTATTAACTTCCCTTCAACTTTTTTTTAAATGTTTTTTTAAGCAATTTTTGTTCTCTGCAAAGCAACGGGTATTAAAAATTTAGAAAATGTTTATGCATCCATGCTTTCTAAGGAATGACAGAAAGTTGCTTAAGTAGCTGTTATCACCAAGTGGTATTATTTAAATCCTAGATTAACAAGATGCTGATCTACCCAGTCCCAGGAGTATGACTATATAAAGTGCACGTGATAAACCAAATAATGGGAGAGCAAGGAAATTATATGATAGTGGAAGTTGACACCAAACAAAGTTAAGCTAATAATAGTTAAGAGGATCTTCATTCAAACTCCAAAAGGAACCCGAAATGCCTCTTAGTAGCAACGAACTTTTACCTGTAGCTCGTTAGAGGAAGGATCCTTTTTGGAGAGGAAAAAAGATGTAGCTTTTTGAATAAATTCTATAGGCTGTAGACACAATCTTTAAGCAACATTTGATTCCTAACATTTCAAATGTTCCGACTAATCTCTTTCCACAAAATGAAACCATTATATTGGTGGGAGCCCTAAAGTTGTTAACCTACTTTATTGAATTTTTTGGGGGGCTAAAAATACTATATTGAATCATTAATTAATTAATTAAGAGAAAGTATTCGATGGACCAGATCCACTAAACACTTGATTTTCTAATAGAACTTTTGGATCCATATAAACGAGGGATTTAGGGTTAACTATAAGGGTCAGTTTGGCAACCCTTTCTCTAAATCAGATTTGGCATAAGCCGGTTTTGTTAATGAAACCAAACTAAGATATTTAGTTCTCCTAACAAAAACAATTTAAGTCGTAGGTTTTTTTTTTGCCAAACTAGGCTCAAGACCTAAATTGGCTTTGTTTCATTAAACTAGGTTTAAGTGGAGTTTGCCAAACAAAGCCTAAGTTGAAGAATTTATTTTGAACGATCACATATAAAATAGACTCTTAAGGGAAAATATCTTGTTTAGTAAATTGGATATAAAAGAGAAAGCAATGTAAAAGAAAAAGTAAAGAACAATTTTGGGCGTCTCCTCTTTGAAAATGGCTATTACAGTGAGTAATTTATTATAATGATCACTACATCATTGTTCACTAACCAATAGAAGAGTTTGACTTTGCAATATTCCATTAATTATTCATTTCTTAGTTAATGCTATGCTTTCATATCATTAGTGCGATGTTAATTACGCATTGTAGGGGGGTCTGACAATCCCATACGCGGGTCACTGTCCACAATTCAATATTCACATTCATGCTTCCATAACATAAGTTAGTGTTAATTAATTCTGCTGACGAGGACTTGGTTTCTTTCGGCATATAGTTTAAAGTTACTATTCATGTGTTTATATGTAAAATAAAATAGGAATCATGCGTCAATAAAATTATACACTGGATTTATATCCTGAATTCATGATCTTCAGTGGCTTTGAACGCCATGCCGCTTAAAAATTTGATGATAATCATAGATTTTGAAAGGGTTAATTGTGAATAGACCCCCTTTAGTATCGCCCTTTGCAAATAAAGGGCATGTAATTATATTCGTGAGGTCTAACTATTTGTGTGGATAGACCCCTGAGTGATTTTTTTGAATCTTAAAATAGTCAAAAGGGTTTTGAGGTAGATGGACTCCTTATAGTTTTATTGGACATGATAGATCCGATCAATTGTTTTTTTTTTCTTTTTTTTGTGAAAGGGTCGAAAAAGTTCAGGAAGGGGTGTATTCTCACTTAGAATTGAGCTTATACTAAAGAGGTCTATCCACACAAATAGAACTACGGTAGATCTGTTTGCAATTGGGTAATACTACATGAGGTCTATTTGCAGTGAACTACGGTAGATCTATTTGCAATTTGGTGATACTACATGAGGTCTATTTACAGTTAACCAATTTTGAACTATCAAATTAGTAGTAGTCTCATATTCAATGACCAAGATCCATCAACACTAGAGGAAGGTTATATTTTAAAAGGGATAAATTACGCTTCCTTTCATGGTTAACTTCAGTGATATGCATCATCTTAATTTCGTTTTGTTTATAAGCGTTCCAATAATTTTTATGTTTATTTCTGATATATTTCATGTACACTTGCTCTCTTTCTTTATAGTGTTCTTCTGGGTACTTTTTTGGCCCAAAGTGTTAGTAATGTTGGTGGCAAAGCACTTGAAGTGCCGTTAAGTCTACTCCTAATCTCAATGATGTCGATTTTGATGCCTTCATTGTTTCCCCCCCTAAACTCTACCATGATGTATTATGATAATTAATTAACTAAAACACCTAATACAATGACAGAAGTATTAGCTAGACTTTATGTTCATATACTTAAACTTTTCAAACTTGTGATATTGCAATATCTCGTTGGCTGTCGCCGTCGCATCAATCAAGAAACTTTGGAGGGCTTAGAAAATGATTTGTTAACTCTTTGTAATCATTCCATGTAATATATATATAGTCCATAAGTTCATTAATAAAAACAAACTTGAAGCAGCCAAACTTATTTGGAAATTGCTCATCTAGATAGTCTAGGTGCCGCCTAACCGAGGACTTAAACGGACAGAATTTTTTTAAAACCAAAAATTCCGTTGAAAAACATGGCGTTTGACAAAGACTTAGGCTTCCCTGCCTTACCTTGAGTAAATTATGAAAGGTCCTATGGGGATATACTCACAAGTTTATCTTACTCTTATTATCTCGAGAATATTCCACCACATCTTTTATTATGAGATTATGTGAGTTCTACGTACCTCACGGATCATTTTCAAAGGAATAACATCAAGAAGAAAAATATGGCTCTAATCAACCCTAAAGATAAGCCTAGGCTTATCCTATGCACTATATTTGTTATTCATGGAATCACTTTCATCGGAGAACTTCCAGCATCTCCTTCAACGGAAGTGATAATCCCCCCTAAACACACAACAAGCAAACAAAATAACCCACCCACCCTGTTCAATAATTAAACACCTGATTTGTTCATTGATCGTCACTTGTCAATACACACTTCGATCGATCCTCTCATTTTTTTCCCTTTCAAACTAACCTAATCGCGAACTGCTTTCACCGTTGAGGATGTAGCTAGCTAGCTAGCTAACCCCACAGTGAGAGCTAAGCACTAACAAACGAGCCACCAAACAAAACCTCACTAGATGACAGAGCCTAGCAACTGTTCAACCACTGCCTTCTTCAAGTTTGGTTGGCCCTAACTTTTAGGTATTGTCTTCCTGATGTTAATATTTCTGTTGAATATCCTGTATTTTTAATGGGCTGTAATTAGCACTTTAGCGTCTTAAGCCCGGTTTGGTTGGGGGCCT